AAACTGTATTTCTAGATTTTTCTACAGTGTGCATAGCTAGAAATCTGTAAAGGTAATATTTTGTAACAAAAATAAATCTGTCAGAGGATTTTTTTAAAATTATTAAATTGAAACCGGTAACTCCTGAATAAAATCTTAGTCCCGAGGTTGTAAAAGGCATGCTGAAAATCTGACATCACTTTTTGCTTTATAGTGGTACGCATATAGTTTGCATACTGAACGGCGGATTAAGCGGTAAGCGAACTATGTGGGCGCATAGGGCTCTGAAGAGGCTCCTGCAGTCTTTAAAATGCTACTGAAAAAAAGGGATTGTGAAAATGCAGAAGATAGAAATGGTCCAGAAAAACGCTTTGATATATATAGATACATGGAAGTAATAAATGATATAGCTTTATGGCCAACAATATTAACAGATGCTATTATTGATCATATTCTTAAAACAAACCAAAAAGTATAGAAAAGGGATTTCTTAATAAACGAAAAAAAATAGTTAAGATAATGGAAATAGATAAAACACCAGATGAAGGAAGTAACTTGACACCTGAAAAATTATTTAAAATACAAATTTACAGTGTTCTTGACACTCTATTGTGTCAAATAGATTGGCATTATGAAAAAATGAAAACTATCTGTGACAATTTTTGCTCTCTCTGTGGCTCGTCTTTACAATGCATGAGTTTGTTGATTTAAAAAATTCAGCTGCAGATCTCTCTATTAAATATAGTAAAGATTTAAAAAAGTACGAATTCACAAGTGAAATTCAAAGTTTTAATTTTGAATTAACGACTCTTATACAAAATATAAAATCTGCATCTCCGCTTAATATTCTACAGGCTCTTCATGATTTTGGTTTAATTGAGTCTTACCCAAATATCAATGTCGCTCTTCAAATATTTCTCACTCTTCCCGTTTCTATTGCTTCATGCGAGAGAAGTTTTAGCAAGTTAAACTTAATAAAAAANACTCTGTTATAAAACTTCCTTATTTTGATAAATATAACTTTAATTATTACTTTAGTCATTGTGATTAAAAGAGAAATATTTTTACCTGTATGATTGTGAACAGACTCATTACTGTCTGAACTGAGAGTTCCTGAAGTGGAACCTAACCTTTTTAAATTATTAGCTCTGCGAACAATTGTGGCCACAGTTCGACAATATAATGCTTTAGCTAGAGAATCACGTGTCATACTTGCCTGATAAAGCCATAAAATCATATTTTTAGAAATATATTACATTCAGAAAAATTATTTTATATTTTATAATTTAAAAATAATTAATAATAGTTAGAAATTACCATTTTTGCATCACATGAAGATTTTACTCTCTGACCTCTAACATTATGTGTACGAGTAGTTAAACCATGGAAAAGTGACATACTGGATACTCCCAATAATAATGACACTGCTTTAATTTCTATTGAAAAATATAAAATATTAAAAACTCATTAATATCTTAAAAAGTATTTAGATACTTACCACTTCCACCTTTAACATCAACTTCTAATCCTGGACCATCTATAAACTGAATGTTTCCTAATAATAAAACTGCAGCTAATACTCTTACAACATCCATAAATGGAATTCCAAGAACAGAAAGACAAGTCTGAAAAGCAATAATAATCATAGCATAAATATAAAATTATTTATAATGATTATGAATTTAATGGTCAAATTTTTCACCTTCCAAGCTTCAAATCTTGTTGCATCTTCTGTTTCATGTTGCTTTGTACTTCCTTGATTGAGATAACGTAAATTATGGACTGAATAACCAATTAAATTCAGTTGAGCTAAAAATGTGTTTAAAAATTAAATTTTAAATTAATATATTATGAATTATTATCTACTGAATTTCAAATTGTTTAAGTTCAGAAAATATGTTATGAACTATAATAATTCAGTTGATCAGGTGGTAATTCTTTAATTGAATCAAAGATAAATATCTAACAATAGTTATTGAAAAACATCTAAAGAAAACTGATCTAATTTTTATTCTCATTTGTATAATTGAGAAATCATCTTTTCTTAAAAATTTACAACTGTAAGCATTACATGTTCAAATAACTTTACCAAGTAGGGTTACATATTTTGACTAAATGTCTTCATCAGACTACAATAAAGTTACAAACTTGTGTAAAGAAATATATAAAAATATTTAAAAAAACAATATAATAATAATACAAAAAAACTACAATTATTTACCTGATATTTCCAAAGCATGAGAATACAACTCTATAAATGTCATGATGTCTAATTGTGAAATACAGATATTCCTGTGTAATTCTAAAAACATTATACATTAAAATGTAAAAAAACAATAAAGGTTAAATATTTTTCATAAAAAGTAATTTACCTCTTATATTCTCACAAAATGCACTTGTAAAACAATGTGCCATCAACTTAACTATAGGAAGGCAAACTGGGATAGCTGTTTATATTGTTTCTTTTGTAACTAACGATTTACATAACTAACACTGACAATTGACTGTTTGTGTAAAAATAGGGTGTTCCTCCCGTTCTCCACTCCCTGGCATTTCTTGCCTTAGAAGAGTGTTTTACAGGTGTAGATGTTTTGTTTTTGTGACAGCATTAGGGATTGGGAATGAACCTCCCTCCTTTTTTATGTAAACCAGTCAGTTTTCAGTATTAGTTATATTAGTCCATAGTTACAAGACATTTCAATCACAAAAATGTAAACAGCTATCCCAGTTTGCCTTCCTATAGTTAAGTTAATGATACATTATTTTACATGCATGTTTGTGAAAATATAATAGGTAAATTAATTTTTAATAAAAATATTTAACCTTTATTGTTTTTACATTTTAATGTATAATATTATTAGAATTACACTAGAATATCTGTATTTCACAATTGGACGTCTTGATGTTTATAGAATTGTATTCTCAGGCTTTGAAAATATCAGGTAAATAATGTAATTTTCTTGTATTATTTAAAAATATATATTTTTATACATTTTTCTATGTTTACTTTTAAAAGTTTGTAGTGTGATGAGGACACCAGGGCCATGCCATACTATGATGCAGAGAGGCGGCCACATCAGGTGGCATCATAAAGGGGTGGCATAAGCGGCATTTAAGGGGTGGCATAAGTGTCATTTAAGGGGTGGCATTTCAAAGACTTGCATCATACTGAGAAAATCTACCGCACAGTCCTGGAGGACACTTAGTCAAAACATGTAACCCTACTTGGTAAAGTTACAAGAATGTGTAATGCTTACAGATGTAAATCTTTAAAAAAAATTTAATTTTGCAAGTTTTATAAGAAATTATTATAAGTGAGAATAAAAAGCAATTTATAGACAACTTCATTTCTTCCAAAAGTTACATTATACTGATGTAATTATTTGTTAACCAGATAAATTCAAAATTCTGTATATAGCTAATGACATAATATTAATATCATCATCATTAGTATCATATTAATAAAATGGCAAACAAATATTACCTCTTTCTTCCTGTGTTAATCCAGCCAGCATTTGATAAAATATATGATAATTTTTTTCATTTGGTAATGGCCTTACAACTCTTGTCTACAAATAAAATAACATAAAATAAAAGCTTTATTTCAAATATAAAATTAACAGGAAAATAAAAATTATAATATTTTGAAAATGTATTAAATTCCAGTTACTTAATAATATGACTGTTAGTTGCAAAAGTAATTTCTTCTTGTTTTTAAAATATTGAAAAATGTTAATTACCTGATCAAGAAAATAGCAATGAATTTTTGTCCTGTAGAGAGCCCCGTCTGTCACTTGTACTNAGATATAACATTTGAAATCATATAATGTAAAACATACATTGAATACAGTATTTCAGAAAAAATTTAATGAAAAAAAATCAATTTTTTACAAATTAAGTATACATGTATAAGAAGGTGTTTATTGCTATGATGAAGTATTTATGATTGTTTTATGGCAAAGATATCTTGTCAGAACTAATAAGAATAATGTAAGATTCCATACAGAGGAGAAGGTAAATTATTTCTAAATGCATTTATGGCTATTAAATGGAAATTTATGAAATAAAAGGAGTTTGACAAAGCAAGTGTTGTTTTCAACTAATTTCTTTTTCGGAAACTAGGTAATCTTTCACTAAATAATATATCTTAATATTGATTTAATTTCATATTTGTAAATACTGAAATTTAAATCAAAATCCATAACCAAATTTCAATATAAAAATTAATTTCAAGGTTATAAGTTTTGAATTTATTATACAGTATATAAATATATGTATTGAATATAATATAAATTCTAAAATATAAACTAAATATATGCAGCCTACTGATACATACCTCTTAATTATGTTTTAGGATTTATTAAAATAAAATTTTAATACTATACCAGTAATTTTAATGCTACAACATTGACTATATTATTTAAATATTTTATACTTATTTTAAAAATAATAACTTTAAAATATTAAATAACTTTTAAAGGAAAAATGTAAATACTGTAAATAAATTTATATTACTTTAGTTTTGAAATATGAAAAAAAACAAACATATCAAGAATTCTTGTACTGTACACCAAAAACAGTTCAATAGATTTAAAATTCAGATTTATGATGTTCATACATAAATAAAATAATGTGTGTAGCACCAAAAATATAAATTTTAGAATTGAATATCAATATTGAATGTATATAGATAGAAGCTGTGATACTAGAAAATAATTTATGATATTATCGCCAAGAGTAAGTATTACCTTACACCCTTCAAATCCAAACATGTCAAGAATACCAATAAATCCATCTGTAGCATGCCTCACAGCTGAATTAAGAACTGTCATAGATTTTGATGATTTTCCTCCACCAGAACCTGCAGTGGATGCATACTGGCTGCTGTTCTCTAAGGATACAAATTTACTCTGTTATAAAACTTCCTTATTTTGATAAATATAACTTTAATTATTACTTTAGTCATTGTGATTAAAAGAGAAATATTTTTACCTGTATGATTGTGAACAGACTCATTACTGTCTGAACTGAGAGTTCCTGAAGTGGAACCTAACCTTTTTAAATTATTAGCTCTGCGAACAATTGTGGCCACAGTTCGACAATATAATGCTTTAGCTAGAGAATCACGTGTCATACTTGCCTGATAAAGCCATAAAATCATATTTTTAGAAATATATTACATTCAGAAAAATTATTTTATATTTTATAATTTAAAAATAATTAATAATAGTTAGAAATTACCATTTTTGCATCACATGAAGATTTTACTCTCTGACCTCTAACATTATGTGTACGAGTAGTTAAACCATGGAAAAGTGACATACTGGATACTCCCAATAATAATGACACTGCTTTAATTTCTATTGAAAAATATAAAATATTAAAAACTCATTAATATCTTAAAAAGTATTTAGATACTTACCACTTCCACCTTTAACATCAACTTCTAATCCTGGACCATCTATAAACTGAATGTTTCCTAATAATAAAACTGCAGCTAATACTCTTACAACATCCATAAATGGAATTCCAAGAACAGAAAGACAAGTCTGAAAAGCAATAATAATCATAGCATAAATATAAAATTATTTATAATGATTATGAATTTAATGGTCAAATTTTTCACCTTCCAAGCTTCAAATCTTGTTGCATCTTCTGTTTCATGTTGCTTTGTACTTCCTTGATTGAGATAACGTAAATTATGGACTGAATAACCAATTAAATTCAGTTGAGCTAAAAATGTGTTTAAAAATTAAATTTTAAATTAATATATTATGAATTATTATCTACTGAATTTCAAATTGTTTAAGTTCAGAAAATATGTTATGAACTATAATAATTCAGTTGATCAGGTGGTAATTCTTTAATTGAATCAAAGATAAATATCTAACAATAGTTATTGAAAAACATCTAAAGAAAACTGATCTAATTTTTATTCTCATTTGTATAATTGAGAAATCATCTTTTCTTAAAAATTTACAACTGTAAGCATTACATGTTCAAATAACTTTACCAAGTAGGGTTACATATTTTGACTAAATGTCTTCATCAGACTACAATAAAGTTACAAACTTGTGTAAAGAAATATATAAAAATATTTAAAAAAACAATATAATAATAATACAAAAAAACTACAATTATTTACCTGATATTTCCAAAGCATGAGAATACAACTCTATAAATGTCATGATGTCTAATTGTGAAATACAGATATTCCTGTGTAATTCTAAAAACATTATACATTAAAATGTAAAAAAACAATAAAGGTTAAATATTTTTCATAAAAAGTAATTTACCTCTTATATTCTCACAAAATGCACTTGTAAAACAATGTGCCATCAACTTAACTATAGGAAGGCAAACTGGGATAGCTGTTTATATTGTTTCTTTTGTAACTAACGATTTACATAACTAACACTGACAATTGACTGTTTGTGTAAAAATAGGGTGTTCCTCCCGTTCTCCACTCCCTGGCATTTCTTGCCTTAGAAGAGTGTTTTACAGGTGTAGATGTTTTGTTTTTGTGACAGCATTAGGGATTGGGAATGAACCTCCCTCCTTTTTTATGTAAACCAGTCAGTTTTCAGTATTAGTTATATTAGTCCATAGTTACAAGACATTTCAATCACAAAAATGTAAACAGCTATCCCAGTTTGCCTTCCTATAGTTAAGTTAATGATACATTATTTTACATGCATGTTTGTGAAAATATAATAGGTAAATTAATTTTTAATAAAAATATTTAACCTTTATTGTTTTTACATTTTAATGTATAATATTATTAGAATTACACTAGAATATCTGTATTTCACAATTGGACGTCTTGATGTTTATAGAATTGTATTCTCAGGCTTTGAAAATATCAGGTAAATAATGTAATTTTCTTGTATTATTTAAAAATATATATTTTTATACATTTTTCTATGTTTACTTTTAAAAGTTTGTAGTGTGATGAGGACACCAGGGCCATGCCATACTATGATGCAGAGAGGCGGCCACATCAGGTGGCATCATAAAGGGGTGGCATAAGCGGCATTTAAGGGGTGGCATAAGTGTCATTTAAGGGGCGGCATTTCAAAGACTTGCATCATACTGAGAAAATCTACCGCACAGTCCTGGAGGACACTTAGTCAAAACATGTAACCCTACTTGGTAAAGTTACAAGAATGTGTAATGCTTACAGATGTAAATCTTTAAAAAAAATTTAATTTTGCAAGTTTTATAAGAAATTATTATAAGTGAGAATAAAAAGCAATTTATAGACAACTTCATTTCTTCCAAAAGTTACATTATACTGATGTAATTATTTGTTAACCAGATAAATTCAAAATTCTGTATATAGCTAATGACATAATATTAATATCATCATCATTAGTATCATATTAATAAAATGGCAAACAAATATTACCTCTTTCTTCCTGTGTTAATCCAGCCAGCATTTGATAAAATATATGATAATTTTTTTCATTTGGTAATGGCCTTACAACTCTTGTCTACAAATAAAATAACATAAAATAAAAGCTTTATTTCAAATATAAAATTAACAGGAAAATAAAAATTATAATATTTTGAAAATGTATTAAATTCCAGTTACTTAATAATATGACTGTTAGTTGCAAAAGTAATTTCTTCTTGTTTTTAAAATATTGAAAAATGTTAATTACCTGATCAAGAAAATAGCAATGAATTTTTGTCCTGTAGAGAGCCCCGTCTGTCACTTGTACTTCAATAAAGTAGCCCTTAAAATAATTTATCATATATATGAAATCAAAACATTGTATACAAATGATAATTATATTCAATCATTTTTCCTAAAAATATTGAATAAATCATTTTTTTTACCTTTATCTTATGACCTTTTTTGTTGTATAATTTGTAGTCATGACATAAAGTTAAAAAATGATTAATTCAATAACATGAATTTGTTATTGTTGAATTTCATTCTCAACAATTGAAGAATGAATTTCATTCTGTTGAATTTCATTCTCAGTTTACCAAATATTTAGTATCATGTTAAATTAAATTCTTAGCAAAGTGTCCTCTCAAAATACTAAACTACATTAATTCTATAATTATATTGAAAAAGATACCAAACACAGTATTTAAATCAAAATATTACATTTGCTATTCAATTAATTATTTAACCCAAGATTAATGATATCATTTTTGCAGTGTAGTGGAAAGCTAAATGGAGAATTTTATTTAAAAGTTATTTTTCGTGTATTTAGTACAAATAATATCATTTTTAACTATTTTTCAAGTCAAGAATTTTATATAGATCTGTAATGTTATTCAAAAATTATTTTGAAGCATGATAAAAATATTAAACTTTCTAAATCAGGAGTCTCCAACCTTTTATTTAGAAGTTGCCATTTGAGCTGTAAAAGACAAGTCTGTAGACCAGACATGAAAGATATAGTCAAAGATTAAGATTTTTATTTATTTCTGAATAACAATGGACATAAATCAATGCAAACTTTGCAACTAATTTTTCAAAAAATGTCATTGAAATGGGGATAACTTTGGTGGCACCCATTATTAAAATTGCTATTAGATACTTGTTAGACAATAATGTTGATATACTGTATTTCATTTTTGAAAAGGTACAGTACATATAAGCAAAAATATTAAATATTTCCCATGCAAATGTCTCAGGACTTTTAAAATTCTCTTCTGATAGATTTATAAAAATTTAACAAACTTCCTTTAAATAAGTTTTTTAAAGCTTATTTGCACCCTAATGACTGAAGTAGAAACATAAACAATTTTAAATTAATATGAAATAAAAAGTTATGGCCTGAATACAATAATTTACCAACATTTAAAAACTTAAAATCTGGTACATACGATAAAAAATAAAAAGTTTATGTATGGTAAGTCTCGAGTTATTTTTTTTTCAAAACTCTGTATAAATTCTTATTGATTTAATAAAATAAAAAGTATTGATAAATTTAATCAACTGGCACCTATGGCCAGACAACATTGGCCATATTCTTGCTATGTCAACCAATACAAATAGGTAAAATGAAAAATACAACTCATTGGACAAAGCATAAGAAAGGGGATAGTTGTCCAAGCTCCAGTCCTCCCCATGAGAAACAGAAAACATAGGTTAAAAAAATATTCTTATAAAAATCAGTATCCATTATCTCCAACCTAATTAAACAGAAAGAATAATCACAAATTTCTTGGAATATGGGAAAAGTATAAAAAAAAAAAATAGTTTCTTGTTTCTGTAGGATAATATAGTGTGGTTAATCTAGCACAGTGGAGGCTCTCAATTTGAAGTGCACATACCCACAGAGTGAGAAATGTTTTCTCCAATACAAGATTTGTTTGTATTGAATATGTTTTAAAAATGTATATTTTTTTAGTAACAGAAATGCCAAAAATATGTTTTTTACTATTTATTAAATAAAAATCCAGCAGAGCATTGGGTAAGTTTTCCAAAAAATGTTTAAAATGGCACCATCTTTTATAATATTTTATTAATTATTATAAAATGGCAAAATGCTCAATTTTAAGGGTAGAGACGAGTCTTACATAAAAAAAAAATTGTAATAGTAAAATCTTCACTAAGTCTGACCCCACTAGGATATATGACACATGACCTCCCTCTATCTCCCCACCCCTTCGACCTTTAACGACCAAAATGTAATAGCATCAATCTCCCTTATACACAAACCTCCCAGCAAAATTTTAGAAATTTTCGACAAAAGACACAGGAGTTATTAAGCTTAGAAGAGGGTGAAAAAAAAAAGCCATGCTCCTCATACATACTAACATTCATAAGATACATACGGAAAAAACTTCCCCAGATATTTTTGTATTTCTCGACGTTTCAATTTTGAATGTCCCTATTACTGTCTCAAATTTCTAATTAATTAAGATATTTATTTTCCGTTCTGACAATTCGTAATTAAATTATTTAAGCTTAAATTTGTTAAGAATTTTGCAAATCGCAAAAGCCCTTAAGTAGGACCTCCGACTTATTTGACGAAAAAAGTGTTGCAGACTAGAGTTAAGTGGAGTAAATACTTCAACATCTTGACATCAACCTGTGGAATCGTTAATTACTCAGTTCTGGTTTCTGTCTGTGAAAAGTGTGGAGATTTTTATTCTTTGCTATTCGTGAAATTGTTAAAATACGAATTTCTGGCGTCGTTACTTCATTTTTAATCGGGTAAAAGTCGTTATCATGCCAAATTTCGATTCTTAATCCTTACCCCATCCTGAAATATTAAACGAAATAGACGTCAACACATATACTGTACATATATACTTCGGTAATTTTTACTTTCCTGGCTCTGTTATATATAACAGATGGAAAGTATGGCGATCGGTCAATAAATGACCCTCCAAAATTTTTACATTTTTGGACTCAAGGACCTTAAAACATGAGAGATGAAATCCCCCCCCCTGTGTGTATGAATGTCAGTGTGTGTGGGAGGCACGATTTTGTTCACCCTCTTAATAACTCCTGTGCATTTTTTTGTCGAAAATTTCTGAAATTTTGCATGGAGATGTGTGTTTAGGGGCATTTTGGTAATTAAAGGTAGACAGAATGGGTGAGTTTAAAGGGTGTCATGTGTCATATTTCTTGTATGGTCGGACTTAATGAGGATTTTACTCGTTATTAGCATTTACAATTTTTTATAAAATCCGTCTCTATCATCAAAATTAAGATTTTTATAATAATTAAAAATATGCTTTTAAAAAATAAAATATCATAATAGATGGCACACACAAGCAGTTTAAAAGTTGCCGGAAAAGTGAAGCAACTTATTGGTGGATTATTTCCCCTTATTTGACATTTTTGGATTGAGGAGGGATTCAAAAACGTTGAGATTTGAAAGAAAAAAAAAAGTGAGAGAGAGAGTCAAATTTGATACGATTACAATGCTTTCCCGTGTTATAACAGTCCAGAAAGTTAAAGGCGATGCTTAGAGCCTCGCAAATTTAGTAGCCTAATATATTTTAATATTTAAATAATCAAACTGGTAAATATTGAAGATATAATTTTACCGGTATCTATTGAATCTTCAGAACGATCATTTTAAAAGTTAAAATTGATCAATAACTATCTCCAAACAACAATGTGTCAAAAAAGACTTTCTTCCGCTTTTGGTCTTGTCCATTGAGAGAGATATTGCTGCAGAACGGTAAGTGAATTTCTGTAAACCTATTGAATTTTCCAATTCATTCATACATTTTTATTACTTTATTGCGTGTTTTATTTTCCGTTTCTGCCCACTAGTGGCCGATTGGATAAAACCACAGAACACAAGTCGTGGGTTCGTGCCTCGCCAACGGCTGGCCACGTGGAGTGTTCCGAGTTTTTCCAACGTTTGTAACACCTAAAATAGGGTCAATTTCCCATAAAAAGTCTTCCTGAGAGGTATTCCCCTGGGCAGATCTCCCACTTGTGGCGTTGCGGTATATTTACAACAACTTTCTGTTTCTGTATTTAAAATTTTCATATTACAGTATTGTAGACCTAAATAAATCTACCCCCTCTACATCCATCACTCTGTTTTTAGGACCCCAAAAATGACTAGGGCCTCGCAAACCTTTACACCGCCTCTAGAATAGATATGACATTCTGATCTATTACATAAAACTATTTTACTAAATCGATTTAACTTCAACCTTTAATATTTGACGATTTATCAGATGTATCGACTAGAATATATTAATACTTGAAGATAACATTTTTCATAGGCCTATTACAGATCGGGCATGGCAAAGTACGTTCCATGGACCGGATCCTACCCACGCACAATCTTGCAACGTTCGACTATATCATTTAAAATTTGTGATGTGAAAGAACTGGTTGTCGCAAACTTCTTAGGGAAGAGCGTATAAAACAATAAATTTCATTTATATATAAAAGTTATAAATCAGAAGTGGGCGTAAATGAGAATTTGCGTCTAAAATTCTCTATATTTGTGCTTCGAAGTCTTTGATAAAGCCCTTTGCAATACATAAAAAAGAGAGCCAGTTCCACAGGGTCCGCAAAACGTTTAGAAAGCATCTAATAATATGCATTTATTTTCCTAAAAATATAGCCTACTGATATTTTCGTTATCGAATATTATTTACGATACGAATAGTAAGTATACAATTAGGAGTAGGTTCAATCGTACCACGAATTCATGATTATATTGATACTTTAATAGATGAAGCCTTTACGCGCATTAGGTAAGTGCTGATCTATTACGCTTTGTGCATTATTTAATTTACCTTATCGAGTACAAAATCTCCAAATTAAGATGCAAAATTTTCTCACGTGCTAATCGAAATTTTTGGGAGCGTATCTCGTATAATTATTTAGTGACTTTTAAATATCGAAAGAATCTTTTCAAATAATCAAAAAACCCACACTTATACACATATTTTAGTATAAAATTCTTTAAGAAACACGAAAAAGAAATATACAAAAAGATGTCGGATATTTAATTTTTACGGTGAGACCGGGTTGCGTGTCGAAAAAAGTCGTTGTCGTGCCAAGGATTGCCCACCCCTGGCTTATAACGTCGTTTTAGTCACGTTCCCGAGTTTTACTTTTAATCATTACATACATCTAGTTTTGATTTTAGTACTAAAACTGCATTTACGTGATTAAAACCAAGTTTTAGTTTTAGTTTTTAGTGAACTAAAATTACTCTAGTTGACTGCAAACATGTTTGGATTTTTAAAGGGATTCGAAAATCTCAGTAATTTCAGAACAGTTGGTTTAAGAAAATGTATTTCTCTTTACAAACAAATGGATTACTGATACAACCGATTTCTGATTGATTAACCATTGCAACAGACATTATTTCATAGTGTTAAGACATCTGAATGTTGCGATAAATCCAAATAAATCTTACTGATAAATTGTAATTGTGTGCAAAGATATATAATCCTTATTTCAAATTTAATTTAATCTAAATTTACTGATATCCCAATTGATACCACAGTTTTAAAATGAAGTAATTATGTAGCCTACATTATAAAGAGAGGTGTCTTATTCAAACTAAATAAAAACATGTTTTCTATAGAATAAAAATAAAAGGAATAAATGTAATTTATATATAGTCTGGAAAATATGATAAGACATAAAAATTATATTTTAATTTTCTTTTTTAATGGTAATTGATTAACTATTAATATCTATTTCTTTCCAATTTAGACACTCCTTCGAATAAATCAAAATAATTGATCGGTTGTTAAGTAGAATTTCATTTACGCCATCCATCTAAACTGGTCGGATGTCAAAGGTATTTTAATATTTAGCGATATTATTTTTTAAATTGGAAAAAAAATCTCTATTTGCATGCTGAATAGCTGGAGATAGAATAAGAAAGCACTGTCAACAAGACAGTGAAGGTCAAGGAAAAAGTTTTAGAGATATAAAGGTCGATCGTTCCCTCCGTCAGTTGATAAAATTACAGTCAATTATTGGTAGGTTATGCAAACATTTCTTACGTCCGTCACGGATGCATAGCCTAAAATGCTACATCCCGGGCGACTCCGGGTAAAATGCAGACTGGTAGTTAATTTGTTTATAACCGACCATCATATATTGTGTACTAGTCACCTCGAGTTGAAGAATTACAAAAAAATAACACTTTGAAATAAGCCGGGGGACAGTGACCTCGTACTAGCCACCCCCGCAGGCAGATAGCTACCACACCCTTGCTGATTTTTTTAATACTTATGCCTGTTACACTCCAACCTGTACGCTTAACCGGAACTACTAGATAATCAGATATTATTTAATATTTTGAAATTTTTATATATATCCTTATATGGTACATTCTCCATGTCTAAAAATCAAATTCAGTAAACAGCATGAAAAATGTTGAGAGATTTTTTTAAAATGTTTTCTCTGGTACTTATTTGTTACTTTATTATTATTTTCTTTCATATCCAATAAACACACACACACATATACAGACAGACACAGCTTTATCAAAATAAAGATTATGATTTGATATAAAACTAAAGTTATTATTGCTAATTATTTGAATGTAATCAAAAATATTTTTTAGTTAGCTTTAGCTATATTTTCTTTCTTTCTTTTGATAAATTTAAACTATTGAAATCAGATCTTTCATAAACCTCTATTAAAAACACTAAACACAATGCTATACTTCTCATACTAATGGAAAAAAATTATGGATATTTTAATTATAAGCACAACCCACATTCTGTTGGATAAACTTAATAAATTAACCTACATTAATAATTTATATTATTCAAATTTATTTATATTAATCTAAATTATGCAAAATTTAGTAATATTTTTTTTTTTCTTTTGCAAATTCTTTATATCTATTGCTCTTGGTTTTATTTTATGACTATTTATTATAATGACTGTAAAAAAAAATGCAAATGATAAGCATATAAAATAAGGTTTTCTTTCATGTTTCTTTCAAATTTTTTTCTCGTATTCTAAAAAAAAGTAAGGATTATTTAATTTCATAAATTACAACTTCTCTTATTTGACGACCTAATGGTGCAACATGCCAGGACAAATTTGGATTTGCATAAAATGTAAACATAAAAAAAAACAAGATATGCTCTGGTTAGATTATATTTTTCTTAATGAGGGTCCATAAATAAGCTAAAAAAATTAAACTTATGTTGAAATCTCATAGCATATAAATATAAATGATTTTGCACCGAGCGGATGTATAAAGAAATGTCTCTGGAAAACAGACTTTCTATTGTTAAGCAGAGAGAGCTACAACCTATTAATGTATGAATGAAAGGGAAAAATAAAAACTAACACTCAATATCAATAATTCTGTTTCCGACAATTGAACATTAAAGTCAAGAATGGGAAGAAAGTTCGTGAGGAATGTTGAAGATCTGGTCTCAACTCATTACTGATACGTATTTTAAAACAATAAAATTTCATACAGAAGAAAGTTAAAATAAAAAATAAAATACCTGCAAACAATAAAAATGTGATAAGTAAAACGATACTCACTACTCGACTAGATTGAGAATTAGATGATGTTTTTGCACTTCCCAGTGATCTAAGTACTGTAAATGCCGCTGCTAAATGTTTAAAAGCATCTGTCTCCGGTCCTCCACCTGCTACATCAAATAACTGTCTTAACAGCAACATGGAGGAATAGGTTTTTCCGCTTCCACTTTCTCCACTAGAATAGTTTTCAATGTAAGAATATGTTAATTTGAAAAGGATCAAGATAAGGAAGCAAACCCACCTGAGAATAATAGCTTGGGGATATCCCGTTTCACTTTGCTGTCTCACTGCTTCATGAACAACTCTTTGCAATTGAGGACAACGAGAAGCAGCATGAGCACTGCTCAATGTTAATGGATTACTAACATCCTGATAAGGATTGATGGATAACAGAATTGGGCCAACATTCGTCTAAAAAATTAATATACATTAAACATTATTGTACAATACTGTAAAATCGAAAGTGTTGAGTAGAACGTTTCATTTTAGAATAACCAAGCTGTTTAATTTTCTTGAAATGATTCGATAAAATCGATTCCTATTTACATAAATAATTAAATTTCGAAAATAAAACAAGTAGCTTTTAATCATAAAACTATGTTTTATATTCAAATAAACTATTGGAAAACAGAGCAGAGCGTAGGTAGATTATAGATAAAGATTTAGAAATAGGAATCTCTCCAAGCTTTAAAAAAAACACTAGATATTAATGAAATATAATAAAATAATAATCGATTTATATCCCTTAATTTAAAAGAAAAAGTGGATCTATGTTACTACTGCTCCGCTTCCAAGTCTTCTGTTTACTAATAAAAAAAAACTCTGATTGTTGCATGGAATGTTAGAGAATTTTTCTGTAGCAGATCATTAAAAAGAATACAGTACTTATAAAAAAAAACAGGAACGAACAAGGGCAAAAAGAAATAAACAGATAAAACGAACACTTTCTCTAATGGAATTTGATTTCATATAAATTGCGAAGGACATCGAACTACAGTAAACCAACGTGGGTCACGCACACGAGCCCAGTAAACGTACAAACAAGAGGAATGAGAACAACAGCTTCATCCATTACAGAGTCTAATGAAATCGACTGTGCATCATTATGACCACCTAGATTGTGCACAGTATGTCATTATAAGGATTTCATTCTGCAAGCCCTTTAGGGTAACAACGCCATCTTATGTCAACGTCCAGTTGTCGCTGACGGTCATGTCTGCAGTAGAGTATACAATTGACCGGTTATTGGCCGTTCATAAATGTTTACATCATTAATCACTGTGCATACTCAACTTCATTATTTACATCTCAGAATATGCTCCCAGATTGTAATTAATCGAACGCGTTTTTAATAATTTACAGGGTGCTACACTTACAAAGTATTCCTGATTGAAGAACCTAGCATGCAGTGTTCGTAGGACGGCGTCCTCAGTCAGTGGCCCGGGCAAATGAATTAAGTCTTGAATTTCAGCACAAACAGATTGTCGAATCATGCCACCAGTTGTGCTTTTACATAGTTCGGCTGTAAAAATAAAAATATATTTGAAAATCTAAATTCTTCTTTCTCTTAACGATCCCATTTCTCTTTACAATCAAGTCGTATCATTTGTGAACCTCTGTATTTTTATTTTACAAATATATAATCCTGTTTTGATAAAGAATACGATACGTAAAACACATTCTGCTTGTTCTAGTAAAATTTTATTAACCTTATCAGTGATTCCGAAATGCTAAAAGGTCGCGGAACCCTTTATGAAAAATATATTTTAGCGAATCCCTATTTTTAGTTATTGGCTTTTAGTCATTAATTAATTAATAAATTACACTAATAATAAGCATCCGAGGCATGTTATATTATTATTATTTTGACGGTTTTTGAATTGTTAAATAAAATAACAGAATTAATAAATTAAAAAATTGAATAAAAAGAAACAACTTATGAGCCTACAAGTATCTCGAGGACCCTAGGGATCCGCGGACTTTAGTTTCGAAACCACTGACTGCATGTATTTACTTACACGTAAATTTATTTAATGGATTATCAGAAACTCTTACAGACAAACTTTTATTTATTTATTTTATATGAATGTTCAATATTTAAGTCGATACATCTGGAAGAATTTATGCTCAGTTTGACTATACTTATCTCGGTATACCTCAAAGATATTTCCCGAGGGAGAAGTTAGAGATTACACGATCTTAGTCAAGATTAATGATGTTCAAGTCAATGTTTTTTTGAGGTCCTGTCTCTTATATGCATGCAACTTCGAGGAATGTTATGGGTCCAAAGATTAAAAAAAAAGTCGAGAATGATAGTGTTTTCGATAAACGAAATTCACGTTTTTATTTTTGAAAATAATCTTGATTATTAATAGTTATCGAATCGGTTAAAAAATTGGTTCGAAGCATCGTTCATGTCCTATATCCCAGATAAGTCGATTTTTTTTAAAACCCAAACTTGTTTTTTCCCTCCCCTTACCTAAGAAACGCCCGAAGGTAACTTAGGGCTGTAAACAGTGAAGAGAGGAGGGAAGAAATAACTCGAGGAATGCGAGTCTGCTTCTCCCCATTCATTCAAAAACATTCAATGAAATATTTCTTTTATGTCCCATATTTCATTCATTCTCATACTATGAAGAAACCAAAGCTAGAGATTACCCCTTTTTTTTTAAATAATTTTGATATTTAAAAGAGTTCATCAATGAACCCACCCTGCTGATAAGCGGCAAATGTCTGACCATTGAGGGGTGCGGGCGCTGCTCCAACACTAGTCACATGAAGCCGGTTTCTTAATGTCACCAACTCTGAACTGAGACTGCGCAGACGTTGCTGAAGATGGACGGCTTCGTTTGATGATGCATCTACAAATACAAATAAAAGTAAAAAAAAAAAAAAGCATGATTAATAAGCTGAAACTATCGGCATAATCACGCTAGAACAAACACTAACATTTAATTATTCGAAAATTTTCATTCATATTATTGTACTCTTGTTTTTTTTGTAATTCGATAGTTTTATCTGGAAGAAGTTTATAGCTCCACCTTAAATCCAAATTGTCTACAGGTGCGTATCCTCGGGCTTTTTTCCTATCAGTTAAACTGATGGGATTTAATTAGAGCTTACAGGATACTCCTATTTTGAAGTAAACTTACTCGCGGCTTTTTATCTTACGCCATTAAATGAAAAAAACACAACGTAATTTCAATCGGTTATTTATATATATTCTGTTCTACTAAATTTTAGATAATCTTGAATTTTATTAGGAAAAAAAATATATGTAATTTATACATCCAAATCTGCTATAAATTCAATTTATTTGAACATCTAAATGTAATATACATAGTAATTAGTAAGACAGACAATTACTAGAAATATCTACATAATAATGAAAGTAAAAAAATATATATAGGCCTATATATATAATATACAGTCGACCCCCTATAACACTGTTGATTTTTCCGTTTTATATGAATTCCATGTTGTACGAGTCACTTAGATTTTACAAATACATGAGCCGTTCACAGGAAAAATCAACAGTGTTATTGGGAGGTCGACAGGGTATTAAATTTTGGTAAAAAATTAGAAATCTTTACTTTTTTATTCAGAATCACAAAGAAATCAATGAAAAATTTTCATATTTTCTTTATAGTTTTTCTAATAAAACTATTAATATCTATTGATGATACTTTTGATAGTAATAAATATTAAATCTGTATATGGGAATTATATATTTTGCAATAACGATTTTAAATTTTACTGAGAAAAATTCTATCTGGCTTTTGCTTATCTCACTTTATACAAGTTTACGAAAGGTGAAATGACAGATTTAAGTATTGTTTATTTTCATAGGATCAAAAAAATCCCATTTATATGTCATTGCCTACTCTAAGTTTATATGTGATATATTTATATAATAGTTTAAAGTAAACGTATTTATATTTTGTTAACCAGTGAGTAAACTAACAATAATTTGAATTAGTAATTTTACAGTAAAATTCTATTTAAATCACTCGATTTTACTGCTAAAACGGTTAAAATTTCGTTTGATTATTTCCCAAATCTTGAGTACAAAATATGAATTTTTCACATAAGAAATATGACAATAAAATTGTTTATATGTTAATTATTACTGAGAGATTTATTATAAACTTATCTTAATTTAAAATAAATTAAATAAATAGTTTAAATCATTTATATAATTAAATAAACTGATAATTTAAGTAAATTAATCATATTATTATAATTAAAATTAGATTTGTAAATGTTTTACACGTGAGTTTTGTTTACAAATATACTAAGCAAAATACAAGACAGAAATAAATTACATTGCTTACAGCTTAATTAGATTTTGTTTGAAACAGTGCAGAATATATAGCTTCGTTAAAGTCCTGATAAGATTATGATACGAGATTGTTAAGATTTTCGTCCGCCACCACATGTCACGAAGACGCGTGACATTAAATGTGTTGTCAAAAGAGTTGAATGACCTTTGTATTTTCAAGCAGTAAAAAGAACTACAACTTTCCAAACATGAAATTATGCAGGAGAAGAATTAAGCGGAATTATTCTTTTTGGTCAACCATCAACAATTGCATCGTGTCAACACAGCGCTCAGCACCCCGCATGAGACGGCAGAACTTGTGTGGCAGGTTTCTAGCTTTCGTTCCCTCTTTCGACGTCCCGGCTCTGCACAACCTCTGACCTCTCGAAAGGAAAAGAAGACGGTTCTTTAGAACTTAAGATAAGAGTGGCGTTTAAATGCATTGGGGTGCACTGGTCATATACATTCCAGTGGCTTTGACGTTACAGTCAGTGGCAGTAAAGTCAAAATAAATTCCATTGCTTATAATTCGGAATAGTACCCATTCTACTACCACTATTCCAGACTCTGTTCGGTAATCCGAATCCAGCGTTTACTGTTTCACGGCAGAATCCGGATCTAGTTACACACAAACGTGACTGACCACTGCCATAAAACGCACCCGCAACTGCAACATGGGTTACGTGATTCATAACAATTGTTAAGGTGGAAGTAAGCATTTCAAATCTCTTCGAAAAGCTCGACATATATCCCAAATCACGTGACCACAAGAATGGGTGATTTTAGAGGTAAGTAATTGCAGGTAACTCACCTTGCAATTTTCTCTCCGTCTCCCAGAACTTCTGTAATTCGGTGAAATACTTATCGAGAATGAAGATTTTCGAAAGGCCGAGTGTTGCCATCACCTCTAACGATGTTGAGTAACGCGCGCTTTAACGTTGCCCAATCATGGTTTGAGGACTTAAACGAAGAAGAGGAAGAAGCCAGCAACTTCTCATCACGATAACTTGTATTCATCTACGTCTCGCGGCCATGAGGGGGAGAAGACGAAATCGGTAGCAGCAACTCTTGTCCAACCACTGGCGAGACCGTTACAGGTAAGGGTTGCTTCCATTTCGAGGCACAGGGAAGTGCAAAGACTGAGTGGAGGGACTTCTTGGTTTATCTTGATTTCGCATAGCGCTAATTCTCTGACAAACTCAATGGATAAAGTGCAAATAAAGACAGTATACAGATGCATAAACTCTTTCGACTCAAACTACCATCATTGCTTTGCCAAATTATAAATTAATGAAATAATGAAAAGAAAATTTCAAAAATCATATTGTATCTATCGATATTAATAAGATACTTAAAAATTAATTTTAAATTTTCGTGTTCTCTTTAATATAGGTATAATTATTTATAAAAAAATTAATGTTTTTTTTTTCCTCCTCTGAAAAACTCCAGTAAATAAAATTAATTCAAATTCATTTTCAATTTCTAAAAATTCTTTTAGGTTTTCTCCTAAGATTTTTACTTCCCTAAAATCGCTTTTAATTCGTTTTAATTTATTACATTAGATTATGCAATTTATCTATAAAATAGACTATACCTTGTTTAAGTTTATATCCTTCGAACCAATAGTTTGTATTTTATATTAATTAAAATATAACTAAGCTTTATTAATATATCTTTTTAGTAACTCAATGAACTTGTCGAAAAGTAAAACAAATCATTTAATATTATTCTAAAATCGAAAAGGAACTATCAAATTCTATTGTATCTTCACGAGTTTCATAGTGCACGATCAAATTCATTTTATATTGCGTTATATGAGACGTAAGTGAAGGTGATTTACGATCATATTTATAATTATAGAAAGTTTATATTTGTTTAAATTTGGTTATAATGAAAATAATAATACACGTGTAATGAATTTGAAAACAAAGTATAGTGTAGATATGAATGCATGACGTTTCTTATCGGCTTATCAATGAACAAAGACTCTTCAATAGTAATATTAATTGTAATCTTCGCTTAATATAAGCAACACAGTTTTATCCTCATCACGAAATACTACAAATCCTGAAACTTTGCAGAGCATCTACACCATCATTAAACGGTGGGGGTGGCAAGATTTTCTTTTAAAACCAGCGCCGTCTATATGTACATTACTCAATCATCTGGTCAAACTGGTTTTACTTTATATTGCCTGTAAATATATCCGAATACAATTACGATGAAGAAAAAAAATTCAAGCAGGAAGAAATGAATATGTTTACTGATCTTTATAGTTTTTGTGCAGCTGACCCTTTTGGCCTTCTTTGCACCTGCAAACTTTCCTGATTATTACTCTTGCATTTATAACTTGTTCTGATGGAGGATTCTATTGCATGCTGAAAATATTTTACACTTCTGAACTATTATTTTTTTTTTAGGAAATTTTTATCAGTTAAATTGTAATGATAAAAATTTTAGTTTATTGGTAGTTGGAACGACAGCAGTTTTCTATAATTTAATGACTTTTGACTAATTAACAATATGTGTTATTTTCTCATTAAATTATAAAAATAAAGCTTTATAAGTTAACTTTTTATTGGAGAATTTAATAAAGAATTGAAAGAAATTTTAAGTAGATTTTAATTATATTTTAATCCACAATTTTCCTAAATTAGACTACAGCACAACTATTTAAAATACACATGTATTTAATCAATTTAAGTTTTTTTTTTTTCCAAAATTCTCTCAAAATATATAGAATTATGAAATTAAAATTAAAAAAATACTGATCTCTTTTAGGAAATATCCACTTCCTATTTGTATACAAAACAATACTTCAAGTATATCGCTTCATTCTTATATTAGTAATAGGGAACCGATTAAAGCATTCGTTTATTCTGTTTTTATCATGTAAGAAAATGGAGATGCGAATTGGTCAGTGCAAAGTATATATAACAAAGAGTTATTTCGAGAAAACTACATTTCCCACGACCTTTGACCTCTAACCTGCACAGGCTGTAGACGTGAGAGTGGGCGGTTTGAGGGAGGAACTTATGATGGATTAGCATGCTGGGTCAACGTGCAGACAGAAAAGTTGAGACAAGAAATGTTCATTTCTTTCATCCTTCTAAGCAAGTAAAACTAACTCGATTATTAGTGAAACTTTAATTGTGTGAAGGAATGAAAGCTATGCAATTCTTTTTTTTTTTTTAAATTAAAAGATTCCTTGATAATTTACATAATGCACGAATTAAGTGTTAGTTGGAAATTGGTATGAAGTGTAAACTCTAATTCCCTGTAAATCTGTATAATTATATAATTGAACGCTAGAGGGCAGCACAACACAGAGAAGGGGAAAAAATACAAGTGAAATAATTTGTTTAATTAAAATATAACTAATTAAATAAAATAATAATTTTACTTTTAAAATCGTCTTCTCTAAGCAGTAAAAACGCCAAAAGACTGGCTTCTTTTCCAATATCGAATCTTAAATGCATAATAACACATTATTTTTATTTTAAATGATAATTTTGAATTTTTATCTGTATATTAATTGAAAGAGGGTTTCGGCTTGCCCTACTTAGTTTGAGTAAACGGTTGGGGTTCAAAATACGTTTCAGGTATCGAATTAAAGTTCTTATTGTGTAGATGATGCCGCTAAAGAGAGATTTGAGAAAGGTGTAATAGTTCAGGCGTGGGGAAGTGACAAATGTAGACTACAATTATAAGTCTATAGGACAAACATGTCGGGATCTCACCTCCTGTTAACTTTAGCAATTTTTTTGTGTTTCTCAATTTCATTATTGTAAATGGTTGAGATTAATAAATGTAGAGGTATCTCTTGCTTAACGCGAGAATATTAATTACGACAATCCTTTCATATATGCGACGAAAGTTTTAATTAATTAACCACGTTAATGAAGGAATACCTGTACATTTTAGTTACTAAGACTATGTTTTTTTTTTCCACTCTCTCCCAACTCAACCTCACCAAGTCTCTACCCCCCTCAAATGCTCGAGCAACCCGGACATACAAGCTAGTTTCGATATAAATTAGCTGTTTTCTAAGCATCTGTTTCTTTGTAATAATTAGTAGGATCATAAGCATGCATACAAATTAAGATCCATTCTGGTTTTCAAATAAACGAAACGAAAATAAAAGTAAATATAAAGCAATTATACTCTGTATTTATCTCTAGGAATATAATTTTTATTCTAAACATTTTCAATTACTTATCTTCAGAATGAGATATTAGTCGAATGATTTTGTTCTCGAGTAATTAAAAAATACTTACTCGTTAGAATTAAAGTTATATTCCGAAAGAATCGGTTTTATTTAATTTTTTTTACCACGCATAATTTAATATAGACGTATTCTAAAAGAGAAATAAATATAGAAAAAATTACAAAGTATTCATCTGTAATTTATTTCATATTTGTGAAATTCTAGCTATGGATAAAATTGTATTATTAATCTTCAGTGGTAATTCAAAGAAAGCTAAGGGACTGTAGTCTTTTGTATATTAAATATATCTGTATATAAGTATATATGCATAAATCCAAACCTTTCTCCTTCAAAAATAGATAAATCATAACCAAAAAAAAATTTTTTCTTTTTTATAAATTTTAATTTAAATATAACAATTTACTTATGTTGTTTTATTGTTTGTATTAATTAAACATAAGAACATGTGGCTAATTTAAGCTTATTTCCTACTCCCTATCAAACATAATTGCTGGCTACATCACTACTAGTTTTTCATCACAGTTTTCTCATATTAACTTTTACTAAAATCTACATTTATGAGATTATATAATTTATTTCAATACGAAATAAGTGAATTATTTAATAAGTAATTTTAAATTTAATTTTTTAGAACTACAAATAGACTATAAGTATAACTTTTTTGGCTTTATAGTTAGATACAAATTTCAATATTGTTGTTATAAATTTAGTTAATTTTGAATTTTATGTAGATATTTCCTACTTTTAAAATAGATAAATTTATAAATTTCACATAACTGTACATCATACAATAGTTAATAGAGAGGTTGCTGCCGAAGTTTTCATCTGTCAAACGTGAACGTCGAACGTCGAGCGCCGCAATCTTGTAAGTGGCGCTCGACGTTCGACGTTCACGTTTGAGAGAATAAAACTTCGACCGCAACCTCTCTATTAACTATAAAAAAAAGAAACGTGGAGATATTTTCTGTCTATCGGAATAAATGATCTTCGATATCTAAGCACTCTCGATAGATTTATTTATTTATTTATTTATTTTTTAACCTGGGATACATTTAAACAGGTAGATTAAATTTATATCAGCGTTCGATCCTTCGTGGTTTTATACTGTTTTTCGTTAATGGCTAAATTTATTGAGGTATTTAAGATAATTTCATTATCAATTCGGTATATCGAAAAATAATGATAAACGTGACCAGTTCTCTTACAGAAAATCCCGTCATTTTGCAACAGTTGTAGATCTTGTCTGTTGCATTCTTAGAATAAAACAAATATAATAATACTCTTGAAAGACAAACCCTAATGTGCGTTCTTTATCATAAGCAGTTTTTTTTTTTTTTGTAATAAATGGCATGAGAATGTTTATTGTATGATCCATTATAAAGAACAGTGAAACAGGAATCTTTTATTTTTCTTAAAGTGTTTTTGTTTGTTCGTTTTCCTTAATTCCTTACACAATTTGTTTTTTTTTTATACATTCTAATTAAGTAAAACTACTAACTTTGTATATAGTAGCACCAGATGGCGCGACTTATCAGATTTGACATTTTATTTATATAATTAGTGTTTTATATTCACATCAATCTTCGCAATAATTTAATACAAAATATATTGTATTGGTCAGAAAACTGACATAATTAGACTAATTTATATTTAAAATAATAAAATTTAAATAAAATTAATTAATTTAAATGTTATACAGTACATAATTGGGAAATCATAGTATATCAGGTCTAAATTTATCTTATTAATGTCAATATCTTATTAGATTTAAATAAAAATTATATATGAGCTCTAGTTTTAGAGTATTATTAATTAATACCACGGTAGATAAAGATGATTTTTTGACATTAATAGAGAACTGATGCTGGATATTGAGCAACTTTGGAAATGACGAATTACAAAGAAATGCGAGTTGCCATTAAAAATACACATCTCAATTGATGTCGTGAAAAGAGAAGAAAATTTTCTTAATTCATCGAATGAATATAAAAGCAATTACGCTTCATCCATCAATGTCAACTAAATAAATGGAATCTTCCAAGACGTACACTTTTACTAAGTTGAGTGACCTTCTCCCCTCTCTTAACATTAGACCTTGTCACTATATTTCACGGGTTCGAATTCTGATTTCTCATTAAAATGCGAATTGCGTATTTAAAAGCATAGAATTTTTTTTATCAAATTAACTTGTTAGAAGCATTCTTATCATTTTTTCATGCGTGGTAATATTTCTGTGACATGTTAAAGGTTAGTGCTTAACTGATACAGGAACATTTTGATACGAAGTATTTTTTTAGTAAAGTTACACAAACAACTTACATCTTCCGGATTATAATATTTTCTTTAGTTTGGTAACAAAATGAATCATCTTCTAATGCCTTCTTTTTAACTGGAAAACATGTAACGATCGAGCAAAGATCACGTCCATTTGTCTACAAAGGTCACGTACCAAACAAGTGGTTATCAACTTCAGACAATTATGTGGTTCTGGTCTCGTCCTATTACATGCAGTGGCGTGCGGTTTTATCTGCACCTCTATACCTCACCCATAAGGTCAAGTTTTGTGGCGCGAGTCGTGACGTCGCCTTTCACCTTGCACCCCCTCCATCCCCTCCCAAACCGAGGTCTCCGAGTGATAAAAATTTCAGAAACAATAAACATACATTAGAGATATTCAAAAAAAAAAAAAGTTCTAATATTAGTTTTGCCAGAATAATCTAATAAATAAACGCCTGTTCGGAATGCTTCACCGTATACAATGTAAGGAAGACTTATGTACAGGGGCATCATCTCAAACAAGGGTACGAATTTCGTGTATCTGCTTTAAATCTCGCTCCAGGGAAAAAATTCCGTCACATACTAAGGTTGTAGGTGGGTCAATATCTGCTGTACTGGGTATAAAAACTTCTTCGTTTAAGGTGTACTGTAAAGGTTAAGAGGGGAAGTATGAATTTCCTAACCATCGAACAGTGATGGGAAAATCGTGGATATATGTTACTCCACCTTGACATCCGTTATCAACACCAAACCTATAATAAAAGATTGTGGAACGTGATCTTCCCCCACCGATTATCATCACGCATGCTCCGTGCCCATTACCCTCCGACTGGGAAGATAGCGGTCAATAGGAAAAGCGATATGGGGGAAGTCACGAATTCGAAAAATATCCATCGATACAGAATTAAACTAATCACGTGATAAATATTTATAACTTTAATAGATTTTTTCGTTGTCTCGTCAAAACAATTGTCTAGTGTTTTTAAATGCTCTTTTCCTTCCAAGTATATGTAAATAAGCCGAGTTTAATTGTATATTTTTTTAAATTAAAAATGAAAACTTTTTCAATTGTATCATTTTCCCAAACTTACATTTACTGATGTCTGTATTTAAAAATTTATAGAAATTTTGAAAAGTTTCTATACCTAACCGGCTTTCGTCTGCTTGAATCAGAACGTCGTCTGCTAGAGTAAACATGTTTTTTGATTATTTATCGTAGACATAATTAAATTTTCACTCACCTTGAGTAATTGCCGAATCGCAACGATACTTTTTCCATAGACTGCTGAGTTTTGGCATTAAATACCATCCCTTTTCGGTTCGATTTCTGGTAACTCTAACATCTTCTACAGTTGCTTGCCTCATTGTAACGTTTGATTTACAAGAATAATTCCTTAATTTACGTAAAGCACGGATATTGTCGCGTATCTTACGTAATTCGCGTTGACAATCCGTAACCTCTTCTCCGTAACGTAGTACGTCCCCGTACAACTGGTCGGGGAGAAGGACGTAGGTCGGCATGTTGACCCCTCGGTGGCCCACTAGTTCTGGTGCAGGCGCCATCACCTCTTATGGAGACACCTGGCGGGAGATTGACTCGACTCAGGTAATGGTCGCTAAGTAAACAACAGCACGTGCTCACGTATCAATTAAGAGGAAGTACCAATAAAATGTTAAGAAGATTTTCATTGGTCGTTTTTCATTTGATATTACTTTTTTTTCGTTTTTTATTCGCTATCGTTTACTTTAAAAATATATAACTTTTATGTAATCGTTCTAATTTAAATAAACTATAAATATATATAAATCTTAAAATTTTATTTAGTGAACGCTATTTTTCACAAGGTTAAGTAAGTCACGAGTTTTTCTTAATTATCGATTTCGTTCTTCTAAAATTAATAATTAATTTTATAACTTATAACATTTGAATAGAGTATAATAGCTTTGATTAATGAAAGTTTCGTGTACCTCATTTATTTTTCTAAACATTAATTATCGTTTAAGAGATAATAAAAAGTTATGAACTGAAATAAAGTACAACTTCATACTCAAAAAATTTAACAAAAACTTGTACTTTTTCATGAATTTAGTGAGTTTTTGTTTGTAAAAATGAAATGCAAATTATTTGGTAAACTTTCATTACATTTTAATCATCATTATTATTGCATTTACCTTCATTACCATTTAATGATAATTAAATTGTAATGAAGATAAATGCAATGATAATTACAATTTAAAAGTACTCTTAAATTTTATTAAACAACATCAATAGTTACTCGAAGGTTAAGAGGGGGGTCACAAGACTAAATACTAGCGAGTCACGATAGTGAACTTCCATTTTAGAGAATGCATTGTATGTTGATATAATTTTAAACTGTATAATTTTTAAAAAAAATATAATAAAACAGTTAAGTTTTTCTATGTAATTATGATACTAATTATAATCTTTTCCAAAACGAATAAGAAGTAATAAAGATAAAATATAATAATTTACGTTATGATAAATATTACTTTTAATTTCCTGTATTTATTGAGTTTATATTATAAAAAATTCAAAATTAATTTATATTTATAAATATTTTAATGTATTAATACAGTACTAATAAAGTAGAAATTCGTTTTATCTTTTACAATCCGTAAATAAAAAATTAGAATAATTTTTGGAAGTTCAAAAGGTTTTGGACTTTTAGAAATTCTTAGAAGTTGGAAGAAGATTTTTAAAAGAAATTTATCTTTTTAATTTTTATCCTGTTATTAATCCAAATGCCAATGGATAATCCTATTCAAAGAGTTGATAAGATACTCTAATTTATTGTTTTATATAAAATTTGAAGGGTTAACGTTATTTATTAGGACTGATTTATAACAAATACTAAACTATAGACCCGTTAAAATGGTAGATAAAAATCGTTATGATGTTTGTTACATTCTAAATCATCTAAATATATGTATTATATCAAGTACAGTCGACCCTCCCTATAACACTGTTGATTATTCCGTTTTATATGAATTCCATGTTATACGAGTCACTTAGATTTTACAAATACGTGTGCCGGGCTGTGAACGACTCACGTATTTGTAAAATCTAAGTGACTCGTACAACGTGGAATTCATATAAAACGGAATAATCAACAGTGTTATAGGGGGATCGACTGTAAACATTACAAAAAAAGCAATAAAATTTTAATCTAAGGTTGGTTTAATAATTTAATACCTCGTATACAGTCACATAATCGAACAAACAGTGTAGTAATAGAATACGTGACCAATCAAATTGATTACGTGGTTATAAGAGACCCAATAAAATATTTAATGACTCATTTTAAAAAGCAGATGTTCAAACAAATATAAAAATTCATAACCATTGAGAAGCATGTGAAAGATAAATGAAAATAAATGAATTAATTCTTGTTATTCTAATTAACAAATGCATAAAGTATATATTATTAACGTAGCTACCGAAAAATATGGAAGTAATTTATAGTTGATTTATAAATTTATCGCTTATAATAGCATTGAATATACAGTATTATAAACAATGTGTTACATTTTGTGATTCATGAATTTATTATTATAAAATCTTTGAAAAATAGTCTGGTATCGAATTTAATTTTATTTCGAAAAATATCTTAAATAATCAATATCGAAAGATGAATGCTGTGTTAAAACAGTCTGAAAAGTGTCGCTGATCGTGTGACCGCATGTAAAGTTATCGCATTCTATCAGGAGGGTCCGGATTTAAATTATGCTTCGGGGCGGACTCTATCCTTCCACTTACCAGATGACCTCTTTTCGACTTTTTGAAAAAAAGGGGGCTAACTGATAACGAAAAAAAAAAAATAAATAAATAAATAGCCGGATAAAATGCAGGAAATCGCTCAGAGCATAGGATGACAGCGTGTAATTCATTCGTATTAGATATTTATGCTCTATATAGAGCCATACCCCGTTATCCGAATTTAATGCTTTAATGGAAACGATTCGAAGAATGGGAATTCGAAATCAGAAGGTTTCTTCATTATTTCTTATGGAAAAAATTTGAACTCGTTTCTGTTCCATTCAAATAATTTTAATCAATTTTCCCAAATGACACTAAAACACTCAAAACATCTAATTACCTATCAATCTGTGATTTTAGCATTATATTAAATACTTAAAATCTCTATCAACTTATTAGCAAACACTTATAGAAATCATTAAAGATTATGTTTATAAGCAGCAGCACAATAAGTTTTAATACCTAATTAGATATTGTATAGGAACTGAGTTTTATTTGCTGTAGCAATGAAAACATTATAATAATACTGTATATTTCATAACAAAATATTACTGTATAAAAGCAGAAAAACAATGAAGCGAGATAGTGAATTTATCGTACAGTAATGAAATGTTACGAATAAGCTCGTAAGATTGGACTGATATTTTGTAATAAAAGTATCCAACAGCGTTAAAACATAGACATAATGGGTTCTAAAGAACATCATTGGTTGTAGTGGGAATTAGGAAAAGAAATAGGCTTTGTCTCTATATATAAATTATTATGATTATGCCTTACGTTTTTCAAAAGTTATTACGTTATAACGGAGGTCCCTTACTTTATATGAAAAAGTATAAAATATTGATAATTATATTGTTTATAAACCTATTAGGCTATATAACTTTAGAAAATGGTATGTAACCTAAGTTATATATATATATATATACTTTTCATAAACAATTTTGAGGATTAAATATTGTATTTTCAGTGTTAAATATATAACAAAAGCACTCGTAAAAATAAATAGTAAATATTTCTTAATGATAATTATATTAGGGTCAAGGTTTGGAGAAAATTACCGATTGGACGTTATATAAATGCTTTGAGATATATCTTTATAAATTAATTTTAAAATAAGTAGATACATAATAAATTATCAGATTTGAAACCATTTTTGTATTTTTTTAAATATGAAAGTTAATGTAACATAGTCTTAACAATACAAGATTATTAATTAGGATTATATTAGACTGTAATGCATAATTAGGATCGTGGATACCATTGGATAATGTGGAATGTATGCCCGAAATTATCATCAAAATATAAGAATATTGTTATAAAATCAAAGTTTTGTGACAGATACAATTGAAATTTCTTTAATTTTTTTTTAAAATTCGTATTGTCGTGAGGAAATCAGAGTAAATTCTTTTCAAAACTTCTGGCATCCTTTTCCAGTATCGTGCATCGCCCAGTCAAGATTCGTAAAATGAATTGTATTGAACTACGCTCTTGTGTTTATTGAAACATATATTGTGAAATATCTATTCAGATCTGTTTAAAATATCGAAGAAATATATATTAAAACAAAAATAATTTAAAAACCAATCGAAAATTTTCTCCTCTTATTTAACTAAGAATATATATTGATGAATACTACAATACTTCGAATAAGCATAATATTAATTATAAAATTATTGCACTCGTGCTAAATGTAAATGTTCTAAAAATAATAAACATTTTAAAAACAATTTTTAAGTTAGAGTTTCTTAGATCAGCGTACTAAGAAATTATACATATAGAATATACAGTATACATAGTACTCATGTATATTTTGCATGTATCATTAATATTAGTGAACGTATATAAACACACACTCGGAAGCGCTTGATAATTTAACAATGGTTTAATTTTATATAAATTTAAAGTTATTTATTGTAGAATTTAATAATACTCGTATTTTAAATATTATTAAAGTATTATTAATTAAAATATTATCAAGTTAAGCATTATATTTAATGTAATATTAATAACAATAAATTATATTTGTAGTGTTTTGTATTTTTAAAACTTTAATTAATATACAACTTCAAATTAAATTAGAATTTAATACGTGATATCTGGTTTATCAATTTATTTATTCATATAATAAATAGGGCGTATCTCTAATATAGTTAAATTTTTTTCATTTGTGTACATTTATTATCAAACGTACACGTCAGATTACCTGTTTGTATTAAACAATTAAATCTAAACTACTGTCAGTAATCATTAACTTGAATTTTGAGAACAAGATGTAGTAGAAAAAGCAAAGCAATTAACATAATATAATTATTTATAATATATTTAACAATACTATTCATATTGTAATATATTATAATTAATATAATTTTAGTAAAGTAAAATGTATAAGTTTGAATTTTGATTTATATTTTATAAAAAATTTAATTTTTTCTTTCATCCTATTTGGAATATAAACTTATTTTATTTAGAAAGGGATTGAGAAATTTATCTAATTTTTTAAAAGTGGTGTACCAGCAAAAAACATTTGGCTTGTATACTCAGTTGGAATAAGACTTATTATCATTATAAATTTAATATTTTTTTGTATGAATTTTTGTTTGAATTTAATATATTTAGGTTACAATTATCAACATAAATAAAATATAAATAAATAAATAACAGGAAATAGCACTGTAATTCGTAAATTTATCCATTATTTTTTTACTAAACTATATA